ACACAAAGGAAATAATCTGTTACGTCTCTCATCTGACAAAAAACATAACTCTGAATCTTCTCAGTGGATGATGCACCCACAGAGAAAAACAGTGATGACCGGACCACAGGCCAAGAAAACCCTTTGGACGGGCCACACCAGACCCAAGCCCAAATCAACCGCAAGAAGCTCCAAAACATCGAGACTTTGGTCCAGAAGCTGAGGCGCCTCAACTCGACCCACGACGAAGCCCGTACAGACTACATTGCCTCTCTCTGCGAACAAACCACAAACCCCGACCACCGTTACATATCCGAAATCCTGCTAGCCTCTGGCCTTCTCCTCCGAGAACTTGGGTCGAGCCTCGTGAATTTCCAATTCCACCCCTCGGGCCACCCGATCAACCCTGAGCTGTTCCTCGTGCTGGAACAGACAAAGACGAGTGCTTTATCAGGCGGGAGGCCCCAAAGGAAGCTCATTTTCGATGCTGTCAATGAAATACTCACGCGGAAGCTGGCGGGCCCGGGTTCCAGACCTTGGGCCTGTTGGGCCGGGAATACGGGCCTCACAGCACAGAGGCTTCTGGGTGACCTGTGCTCTGAGATGGATCGGCTTCGGGCGAGAAATGGGAAATGTGGGGTTGGGGAGGAAGATGAGAAAGAAGGGTGGAAAGAGCTCTTGCATGAGGATGTGAAGAACGAGTCGGGAGAATGGAGGGATTGTGAGAGGGATGTGTCGGGAGCAGTTCTTGATATCGAGCGCTCGATATTTAAGGATTTGGTGAATGAGGTCGTGATTGGCGAGTTGATTGGGTTGAGGGGTAAACCGGGAAGGCGTAGGTTGTTTGTGAAGTAGTTTTTTTGTCTGTTTTGCTTTATTGTTNTTATTGTTGAGGTTGGATGAGGTTGTATAAACTGAGAACAGCTTTTCTGCGTGTATTGTAATGCAAAATATTCTCTAATGGATTATTTATAACTGGTATATAAAAGTTTCAGTTTTATACTGCAAACTGCACTGCATGTGGTTCAGGGTTTCACTTCTTCCACCCTTTTTTCTCCTCAGTTCTCATTTTTCTTTTACCTGTACTATACTATTCATATTAATCTTAAGATTGCAGGGAAAAATAATATGTGAGTGCACTACCGGTAGGCGTAGGATCAAACCTTTGGGAAAACATGTAAGGAAATGTCTCATTGCTACAATACATTGGTTTTTTTTTCTTCCTCAAAGCCACATTACATTTGTTAAAACACCCGACGAGATGGTTCCGTAACGAGACCAAAGTATTTCCCATTACCATAAATAAATCTTGCCAACGCACACCCAGGCCAGGTGGCCAACCAATGATCGATCAACTTGTCTTGTCTCAGTTTTTATGATATGATTACTACTTTTTTTTTTCGTATTATTTATAATAGTAATAGTAAGATTACGAAAGTTAGGAACTCAGGATCAGATCCCAAAGATAGTAAGACTGTTTTTCGTCTTAATAATTGAATGTTATTTAATCATGTCTGGAGCTTCCATAGCATAGTGGTAGTGCGTTCGCTTCGTAAGCGAAAGGTCGCGAGTTCGATCCTCGCTGGGAGCTTTCCTTTGCGCATCTTTTATATTTTTACGCGTTCAATCTGATACACACGCACTTGGAGTTCCCGTTCTAAACTGTAATATAAAAACTAAATTTTACAACTATTTATGAAATATTTTTATAACTTGTACAATATTCATGTATTACAACTTACAAGGTGTTTGTTAAAGAAATTTGTTTTTAAAACTAGATATAATAATAAAAAAAAAAATTGAAATACTTTATTAAAAAACTATTTTACTATTTATATTTAAAATAACACTATTCACTTATAATATGCTTACCATCTTATATTATAAGGATTTTTTTAAATTACGTCATTTAATAACTATGATTAAATTGATTTAAATAATTTTATTATTTTAATTAATATTAATTGGAAATATAATTTCTATTATAAAGATAAATATATTATTTATTTATTTTATATGTACAATATAGGTACTAAATCGAAGCTCATCAAGACATGATTAATTTGATATATTATGTATAAAAATTTGAAAATAAACAAGTAATTTATTAACTTCTAAATCTATTTATAATTTAAGTTAGTCATTTTTCATAATTTTAAAAGAAAGATTTCGAAAAAAAAAAGTATGTCTTATAAATCACGTTTAGAATAGAAAACGTAACATAATTAATGCTCTAAAAAAGAATATAAATATTTAGTATATTTATAGCTATTCCAAACCTAATTATTTTAGGTTTAAATGCATCCAAACTAAATCACAAATCATGAAAATTTGCCACATAAGATCCTAAAACATACGAGTCTGCCACTTAAATTCAACACATTTTAAAAATTATAAAAATTACACAGGAGGATAGAGGGATTGTCCTTTTGTAGAATAGATCGATCGCATTTTCATTTTTTGCGAGTTATAATTGCTAATTATTATTTTATTTATTTATTTTTTGTGCGTGCATAAATTCCAAATAGGACCACTGAAAATGCTCTTTCCTTTTTAACCCCCTACTTTATAGATGCAGGCCCAACTTAGGCCTTATAGCACTGCAGTGTGAACATTTCTTCCTAGACTCATCATTCTGCTTCTGCCTCCATCATCCAATGCCTTTCTTCATTTTTTGTCCCCTTTAATTATCAACTTTTGTTTAGGGTTTTGCAGCTCGAGATTGGGCCTTTATCCGCTCGCTGGTAAACTTAACGTCGTAAGGAGCTCGACACATTTATTAACAAGCCAATGACACAAATTTGTGCTTTAACCAGCCGAACAAGGGTAAAAATTTAAAAAATTATGTAAAAATTCCTAGTTTGAGCCTTAACAAGTAGAATTCTTAACAAAAACGAGTTTTAAAAGAGCTAAAGCTTACAAGCGGCTCATTTCGTTTAAAAGCTTTAGCTAGAATATACATATTATTTATTCTCAATTGAAATAGAGATATTAAGCAGCCATGCACATGACAGTTGACTTAATTTAGGTTGCAGATCTCAATTTAATTTTCTTATTTCCTTTTCTTGTGTATGTAATTAATTTAGTTCTGTTTGGGTTCACTATCAGAAGTCATAACGGGTAGAGTAGTAAGGGACGAAATAGTAAATTTTAATCTTAAAATAAAAAATGTATGAAAAAAAATGAATAATTTTCGCATTACATGAGTGTGTACAGCACGCGCTGTCAACTTGGACGGAGAGGGGGGAATCGTGCAACAGTTAGTTAATACAAAAGGGTCTGACGCAATTTTTGAAATATCAGGGGAAACGCGTAGATTTCGTATAATACAGAGGGGTCATGTATATTTTTCCCAGAAATTTAGAATGTTTGTTTACAAATTATCGCATTTTATTCAATTTATATCGCAAATTTAACTCAACCTTATTATTTTTAATACACTACAAAAAAATTGTTATATTTTAATGGAAAATCCTACAATAATATATTTCTATGGAAATTCCAACGGATATTCCAATGGCATAACTTCCGTTGAAATGACTCCAACGAAATTATTTCCAACAAAAATATTACGTCGGAATAGATTTTCCATTGTAATTTTAAATGAAATTTGATGATTCCAAAGGCTATTTTTCCAACGGTTTTTATCGTAGATACTTCCAGGTTGTTCTAGATCCTTCTACAATATTCCGTGTTGTTCTAGATGCTTCCGGAACATTCCACAATGTTTCACGACGTTCCACATTTTTCTGAATTGTTCTTGTACATTAGGTAATCAAAGGAGGTCAAATGTTTTAAGTACGGTTTCTAACAACAAAGCAACCAGAATAAAAGAGCAAGGCATCAGTATTCCATAAGAAACATATATTTCTAATAGATGTTTGTAATTCTGCTTCGTATACACACAAAACAAAGGCATTAAGTTTTATGTTATATGTGTTGTACAAAATTTCAAGGTTGAGACACAAATTTTTTAGTCCATCTTTGGGCGACTTTTTTTTTTGGGAAGGGCTTGAAGTAGCTTTGATGTTTGTTTCAAGGGATGACTGGGTTTGGGGCGATGAAGCTTGTGCTTCCGCTGTCAAAGCTTATTTGTTTTTTAACCAAAGAATCTAAAGTTTGTATGGCTGATCTTTTCTCGACTTTCATGGCAACGTCTGCAACACATCTTTCAATGTTGGGAAGGGGCGGATCTAGAAAAAAAATTTGGGGGGACAAAGCTGTTATTCGAACAAAACTGTCTGCGAACATGTACAACTCAGTTTGACTCGTACAAACTCGAGCTCAACTTGTTTTTATAATTAGACGAATTAATCACAAACACTTGATCGAATTTGTGCATTAACAGAGTTGGGTTTTACTTTTTTTTTTAAAAAAAAAAAAATGAGTCAGGCCGAGCTGACTCATTTATTAATCAAACACGAACTTGAACATGAGATATGTTGGCTTGACTCCACTGAACAACACCTTTGGAGAGGATATATAATTTTTCTTATAACAAACACACATATAAGACATATAATGTCATTATATATTAAATAGATAAATAAATAATAAAAATGCTCTACAAAAGATATGACTTATGGATTTCACTACTTTATAATTGTGTTTGAGATTAATTCATATCACAAGACTCATTAACAAATTTTTTTTTCTTTTTTAAGGGAACTCATTAACAATAGATTAAGTGTTAATAGTTCTTGTGATTACTTTTCGATCCCGTGAAAATGCATATCTTGCATGCTCTGCTATTTCAGTTTTTTTATGTAAAGATGTTACATGCTCTGCGAATTTTTTCTTTTTCTTTTTACCTTTCCACTTGCTACTGTATTATGTCGCTGTCGTGCGTCTTTGTCTCTGGAATTGAATGAGGTTGCTGGTTGTTGTTTATGTTACTTAGATTTAGAATAGTTTATTAGTTTTATCTATCTATATATAAAAAGATTGTTGGTTAAATCCTTTTTGGAAACTTTTGATCAAATTAATAATACTTTTGACATTCTATTTATAGAAAACTTGAAAACAATAATGGTGTAGTTTTTGTTTTTTTTTTATGAAAAATCACAGTTTGAATTCAAAATTAATGGTGTAGAGATAATATTGGAACAATAATCTGTGGATAACTCATGATAGAATCGGTGGATAACTAACTACTAATCTAAAATAATTTTGATAAATCTTCACCAAACACTTATTTGATAAATCTGTGGATAACTAAACTATTACTCTAAAAAGATTTTGAAATGGCTAAGCTTATGTATTAATATTGCAACCCAAGGAAAAAAAAGCATAAGTGAGCCAATTTATTTTTTTATACTAAAATAAAGAGATATTACCAAATATAGTTTTTGTTTAATTTGATGAATAATATCAAATCATTCCAAATTTTAATAATGTACGCGAATATCATTTCAAATATTTAGATAATATCATTCTAATGCTCCAATCATCTAATATTGAGATATTTTTTTTCACCTATTAAATTAACAATCAATTTGCTATAAAAATAACATACACACTCTTAGTTGTTATTGTATCCCCACTCATCAAAAAATCAAGCAAAACATAAAGAACAAATAGATATTCTGTATTGATAAGAAATCATGAGGACTCATCAAGCAAAACACCATGAAAACTCTACGCAATCCAATTCTTTTAAAGGATAAATGTATTTTTTTCGAACAAAAAAGATATTGAAAAATGATATTTTTGTTATTATGAGGTATTAAATTTTATGGGTATGAAAGTCAAATTTTAGGTTGATTTGTTATAAAATCAAGGTAATATGTTTCTCAAATTTTAGCATATTTCTATAATAACTTGCCATAAAATATTAATGATAATTTGACAAAATGGTATGTATTCCTCTTGAAAATCATAAACATCTTTGAACAAATATCGGTTAATAAAA